TATGCAAACTTTTCAATTATTTCAAGTTCTCTTGATATTTACTATGGGACAAATCAACATGAAATTGTTGTATCAAATCTTAGTGGATGTTTAGTTTTTAATGATGAATAAAGTCACACTGAAAGATTGTTTATGAATAGTGCAAAATATCATAGTATTCAATTCAATTGAATAATAAATTGAAGAAAGAGAACTGTTGTTTTCGATCACAGAAATGTTAATCTTTACATAAATGAAACAAAAAAAGAGATAAACTATTTGATAATATCAAACGAAGAGAGAAATAATCTCTTGCATCTTTCTTCTGTCATACGATTGAAAGGTCTTTTTAAATTATATGCACAAGTGTTTTTTATCAGTCGGTTTTGAAGCAAACGCCTGTAGAGTTGGTACATTCATAACAAAGCTTGGGTATGTATCGGTTTGTGAGAATTCAAACGAGAAAGCATGACTTTCATCATGAGCTTCTAAGATCGGATACCATCAGTCCGTTCTTATATTATTAGAATACCATATGTACGCTTCTTTTTCTGAATTATCCGAAGATGTCTCTTTCCTAGAAAATTTTTTAATGATAACTGGGTTATAATTTACTCATTCATTTATTGTGTACGGATGTAAGAATAATGATTATTATATGTTTTCTTTTGATTTCAATCAGTGTATTTTTTTCTTTCGTTTTATAATCGAGTTGCTTATATTACAGAGAAAGTGAATGTTAACATTGCATACTGGTTGACCATCGAACAACATAAGCAGCTCACTGTGAGTAGATGACTATTCATTCAGTTAGTCGTATGGATCTTTTTTCAATCTCAACTGACTATAAAGATGGAAATGATCCTTTCATGGGAATCGAGCCGCACATCTTATGCTTTTCGGGCAGTTTTCTTTCGGTAGACACTCAACATGCTCTTCAATACTAACTTTGAAAACCCTTTTTCGATCTTTTATTTGACTTTTCTCAACAAATATATTGTTTGTAAGCAAATCATCAAAAGAGACTGTTGGGATTAGTAAAAGTAATTGACCATGATTGGTTTCGAGGGATATTACCTAGAAACATAATTTGGACTGCTATGGATTTTGAGATTATACACATTAATGCCACACTTTACTATCAATAATACTATAATATTTCATCACAATGTATTGCGAAAAAGTAAAATAATAAAGTGGAATATTTATTGTACTTGATGACGACGAACTGAGTTGCCTAGGGTGTGGGTGTAGTTAGAGAGTAGGCTCACACTCCACAACCACACCCTATGGTTGTCATACGGGCACATGCAGAAATTGAACACTCTTTCTAACTAAATTAGTATAATTTCAGTGTGTTTAGATAGCTCAAGTTACAATGAGTAAATAGTCTACGAGAAGAATGTGCGACGAATATAGCTTCGTTTTTTGCCTACGATCTGCTACTGATTGACGGAAAACGCTGTGTGGCTCAAAATGTCTGTTAAAAGCACCCTGGTCCTTTACAGTATAAATCGACTTCATTATTCGATAGAGTTCTTAAATAGTAATCTGATAGTTAGAGGCACACAATTTTTCAATCTCATGAATTCCTCTATATTTCTCATTCTATATTCAAGTTTCATCTGACATTACAAAATGACTAATTTATCTGCACGCGCCGGCTTAGCACTTCTTCGTAGTGCACTAATTCTATCAATATTTGGTGTTATTGGCATAAATACTGATTCCATGTCTGATTTGGAATCAACAATCACAGCGCATGGTGGGCAAATGCTGCGAATTACCGATCCAGGATATCATTCGGCGGCCACTCTTTGGAATACGGCGATTCAAATTTGGCCCAGTCTTATAATACGACCTGCGACATATGATGATGTCGCACTTGCACTTTCTATGCTTTATTCACTCAATATACCTATTCGTATCATGGGTGGTCGACATAGTTATGGAGGTTATTGTAGTCACCAAGGTGTAGTACTCGATTCTGCCTTACTAAAAAAGATAGAAATTGATTGGAAAAGTGAAACGATAACCATGCAAGCTGGTGTGCTTTGGGATGATGTTTATGCAGCTTTGAATGGTTCAGATTACGCAATTGTTGGCGGGTTATGTCCCACCGTTGGTGTAGTCGGTTATACGTCCGGGGGTGGTTATAATTCTTTATTTTCTCGCTCGTATGGATTAGGATCCGATAATGTTCTCAGCTTTAAAGTAGCCACGTACAATGGTACCATTGTCACTGCGTCATCCACCAGTAATCCTGATCTATATTGGGCACTTCGTGGTGGTGGTGGAGGAAATTTTGGTTACGTCTTAGAAATGACACATAAGATTCATCGAATTAATCAAACGAATTTGCCCGCTGGTCAACTCTCATTTTTGAGTATTACTTGGTCGAATCGAAACGATTTCCGAGCTGTTCTTCGCAATTGGCTCAAATTCGTCGACGAAGTTGCTAATTTTGATACTCGCATTGGTTTTGATGTAATTATTTTTACTGGTTCTGAAAACAATTTTCTCTTAATTTACGGTTCATTTAACGGTCCGCATGCAGACCTTGAATCAATATTTCAACCTTGGTTATCCAAAGGTCCAAAACCGGACATTTATATGGTGAAAAATTTTACACAATTTGAAATTATCGCTGTGACTGGTACGGCAAACTATCCATTTCCAGTCAAGGAACGACAACATATCGTTTCTGCTATGGCTATCAATATCACAGAGACAATGCTTGATGTTATTCTGGAGCCTCAACCAAATGCTACATTTCGAATTTTACAGTATATAGGAATTATTTATCTTCATAATACTAACAAGGACAAGAATACAGCATGGGCATTTCCAGATATTTCTTTTGATATTGCTCCCGGATTTGTCTGGTATACATCTGAAGACGATTCTACGGCCATCAATATAGCCGAAAGCTGGCTACAGAGACTGATGACTGCTGCAACACCAACGAGAAGCATTGTTGGAGGCTATATTAACTATATCGATCCGTATATGAACAATTGGCAACAAATGTACTATCGTGAACATTGGAATCGATTGAGAGAGATCAAAACTGCCTGGGATCCGACTTGGTACTTTCGTTTTCCTCAAGGAATTCCACCGAACAATCAGTAATCAAAGTTTTCTTCATTGATAGTTATAAACAGGATGATTATTCTTTGTTCTTTCATTGTTCTCTTGGATCAATTATTCTATTCCTTTCAATAAAACTATCGATTTTCTAGCATATAGCACTATGAAAACATTAATTGATATAGAAATCGTAGAATATCAAAGCAAACAAATACAATATCAATATAAATTGTGAGATTTGCGCAGTCTTTGATGGATGTTGCTCTAATTCATAAAAGAACTTTTGTTTCTCAATTGTATTTCTACTTGATTAAACATTCCATTCGACTCATTGGTCAAATATCATGAAACATATAAAAATGACAGAAATCTGCAGATATATACCTGTCTGGCAAAATTTAACAAACGTTTTCATGTGACGTAGAAAATTTTTGCAGAAACGATGAGGTGTGAGTGTATTTATTTTTCCATCAGCACATCCACTCCCACACCGCTTGATCCTTGAACGAAGAAATCTGAGGTTCTTTTTTCATAAATAATATACATACATATCTGAATAATTGAAAAGATAGCTAAGCATCAGCGTAAAGATAACTGATATTTTTATACATTGCACATATAAAACAAATGCGAATAAAAATTGTTTCTAATAAAGTACGACCATTGATAAAAAAATTCCTTTACATGTATTATATTTGTTATCGCTCTGAAAATTTTGTTAAATGATTATTTAATTTAAAAAAGTGTCTTGAAAATGTAACTAAATTTTCTAAGAAATATCAGTTTGCAAGAACATCAGCAACCATCTTCTGAAATTATGCATGAACTCACTTGAGGGTGTGGATGTTAGTCTTTTAAATAAAAAGGTTGAAAACACCAGAAAAATGGAACAGTTTTTTCATAGCACTTTGAATACACTCGAATTGATTTCATGAAAAGTATTCCGAAAACTAAAAATTAGATCTTCTCAAGATTTGTTGTCGTTTCTGCATTCCCTTTCTAAGCAAATATCTTTGGTGACAATAGTTTTGTAATAGAATTCGTTACTTTTCTCATCATCTGTGATCGCTATAGCTCTAAATCTTTGTTTTTATTTTCCATTCTACAAATCGTGTTATTATTCGTTCAACTAGAGGCGATTTCTTTATTTGTATTCTTTTTTATATTTGATTTATGAAAAAATTCACGAAAGTGATTCGATAATTAAATACCTATCTGCTTTATTTTTGTCGTTACAAAATCTTTTTACATTTTTAAACAAGAGTTCAATTAAATGACTGAGAGATGCTCGAGTGATGTTGTTTGTTTTAAGCTGCAACATGTGAGAAGTAACATCAACGAAAAAAACGTAGCAGCGTCTTTGAAAAGACGATATATGAAACATACCTACACATTTAAAGGAATAAAACAAAAATGTAATGCGAGCATCAACTGAAAAAGAAAAAAAATTCTTACTCGAACATAATAGTCGGTAACATTAAGATGTGTGACAATACTTTTGATTTCATCTAGAGAAGCGAATGATTCTATTATTTAAAAAAATACATTTCATATGAAAAAAAGTGTATGATGATGAATGAATATAGTTGATATACACCAGTACCCCATTAAAGTCTAACAAAAAGTTTAAGTATAAGTCAAATAGAAAGAGTATTGGTATGTCGACTACACTTCAACTTTCGCTACATTGAAAACAAATTACTGAGGAATCGAACAAAGTTTGGAATTTTCTCATAAAAAATGATATTATTCAATACCTATAAACACTGACTCGTGATCATTTTTCGAAACCAGATTTTATCCTGAGAAAATAATAATGACCATCTATGGCCAATATTGAATCGTAGCAAGATGCTACATGCTAAAAGTACATTTTGTTTTTACCTTCGTTATCAGAAGTCCGAATGATTATAAATGCGACATTGCTCATGTTAAAATTCAATTAAAAATGACTAAAGAAATTGATATTAGATATTTTATTCATTCGTTTATATTTTCTGTAAATTAACAAAGAAAAAAAATTAAGAATAAAAGCCAAGAAAAGGATCAGTTTTCTGATTTTTTTTCTTCAATGGTCGTTTATTTTGCGTTGTGGTGTGACCATTTCCAAAGCCGTTTGCCATATTTGCCACTGCATCATTCTTTCGTGTGTAGATCTCGGCCAAAGAAATTGGTTCATGGATATCCTCGCCATTACCATATATACCTAACTCCACGCACATACGACGGGCATGCTCTACACTCAGCTTATCAAACTTGTGTTCGACCACTAGTCGTCCATCGCGAAGAAGAGCAGGATCAATACCTTTGACATCGCAGTTGAATGTACAAATAATTTGTTGATGCATAGCATCGCCGAGAAGACCGTCAGAAAGATTGAGTAAATTAGATACAGCCTGGCTGGGTAGAATGGTGTTCTGTATTCGATCACGAATAATATTCTCGGCATCTTCGACGATCAGAATTGAGTTCGGATATTGCATGAGAAACGGTAAGAAACCAGGCTTGGTTATTTCCTAGAACGAAAAAAAATACTGGTTTGATCGTTTTTGAAAGGCTTACTCTAAAACGATTAGATGATACGATATATATATGATAATCTTTATACTTCATTCAATAGAGACTTCGGAATGAGTAATTTTGAGCAAAGGTATCAAAGCATGGTTTTTGTGGGCAATAAGTTTCTCATAGACTCGTAACTAATTCCTTTAGACCTAAAGTGTTTGAAATTGAAAAAGCAGACTTATCATCTTAAATGTGTTATTTTGTTTAGATGTTCGAATATATTATTTTTCTCTTTATCTAGATTTGGAAACCAACGAAGCAATGTTCATTCGTAATAAAAGTCTTCAATCTAGAAGCTCTCTGAGTAATTCAAGAAAAAAAATGATATTCCTTTATTTATTTCCATTGATGAAAGTATAGATCTAAAATAGTACTAGCATTATAATTTCCTAATGTAGTTAGTTTTCAGCTCAGACTGATTGATTCGAATCCATTGACTTACGTTGACAAGATCAGGTGGAACATAGATCAAACTTTTCTCTTTGATTTCATTGATCAAATATCGCAAATAGTAAGTTTTGCCGGTACCCGGAGGACCATGAAGTAAAGTAATGCCAGTAGAATCTTTTTCTTGTAATGTTTTGAGAAGTTGTTCATGAATAATCTCAAATTCGTCACCGTAGTGAAGTTTAAGATCAGTAATGTGAGGCTGTTTCATACGAATGGATGAAGTGTAGAAACCACTTTGAGCATCATGACAAACCATTTGTAAGGTAGCCTCAGTTATTGGAAATAGTTTGAATTTTGATATTTGTCCAAGAAGTGTTCGTGCACGATCTGCTGTTTGTGGAACGTGGAAGATCTGAATAGAAGACGAATAGATTGTCAATGAAGATTGGTTTGTGATTGTGTAGAAAAATTTCTTGAGAATTTTCAGAATAATTTTCTTCTCAAAGAAATTTATTTGAAAAATATCTAAGATAATTGTCTAGTGAAATTCAAATAGAATATTGATTGATGAAATATTCTTTGGAAAATAATGAAACTCTACATAGAAAATCAATTTTCAATTAACATTGTAGTCTACTTGAAATAATTTTAGACAATGACTTGTTACTGATTAGTTTGTTCGCAGGAATTGAAAATAGTTGAAAAGGTCTGACTCTTTCAAAAAAAAAATCTTATTTTCAAATCAAGCTTAATACCTTTCATAGATCTTCGAAAAACTTGAGGAAAATTTGTTAATTTATAATTTTTTAAATTGGTACATTAAAACATATATTATTTAGTTAGAGATCGTCATGAATATTCTAATCTATAAAATCGATCATCAATTTTATGTCAAATAAAATTTGATTATGAAAATAAATTTAGCATATCAGATTTACAACAAATGCTTACCATAACAGTGGAAAAGCAATGGAAGATTTTTTCTTCCTGATCTGGTTCGAGATCATTGGGATTGTCTACATTTACATGACTTATAGAACCACCATAGAATTGCACTAAAATATTAAAAGAATTCTTATTAAGAATTGACAAATGCAAAAAGAAATTTCAGAAAATAAACCTTCTTATCGGAGAAAATTAAGTTGTTTTTACCTGATAGATAATTTCCCAAATCAATATAAACCTTGGCGATAAGAGAACTATTATCCGATGTATCATAACTCCAATCGTAAATAAAACTATTCGGATCAATTTTATATTCATTGATGATAAAATGTAAAACACTGTTTGAAAAACAAAAATTGCAAATATTTTCGTTGAGAACAGATCAAAATTAGTTGACTAACCTCGTAGAGTGATACATTCCTCCTTGTTTGCTTTTTGAAGACCATTGTCGTCCTCGTGTAGAAGACAATAACTGACCAAGCGAATTGGATGTGGAAGCATCATTATAGTTGCTACCAACATAATGTATACTTGGATTTACAGTGCAAGGAAGAACTCGATACTTCAATGCAAAGAGAGTTGGACCATAAATAATATTTTGCTGTTGATTCGTGAGTTGGAAAATCTCTTCACTTGTCAACGGTTTATGATCATAGGCGCCAGAATAATTCGACGACAGAATTGTAGAAGTAAGATCTTCACTATGCATATTATGTAAAAGAATAATTAATGATTAACGTTGTTTGGAAAAAGAAAACAGAATGTCTTCTTTGCTTCATTTATTCTTAAGTATATATATAGGTGGCTTGATAGTTTGGCATATGTGTTCGATGGTTCTTTGTTTATGTATTCTTTCGTCCGTTTCGATAATATAAATTAGCCGATGTACTACCGATAGAAAATCAACAAATTCTATTGGTCAAAAATACTTATTGAGCATCGTTTAGGCAGTCGAATTTGACGGTACATTGTTTATAGACGGCCTTGATCGGTCGATAAACTTTGATCAGTTATTATATATTATAGAAATTGTCTAATTAGCCTCCTTTACCAGAAACATTTACCCAATATCTGATCAATTTTTTTTGTGACGATGCTTAGTTTTATAAGGATTCTTATTTGAGCTCAAATTGTTATTTCTATTCAGCTGTTTAGGCATGACAATACTTCAAAGTTCGAATTTAAAAACAATCTTTTCTGTTGGAGATAAGAATCATTGACATGTCAAGTCACACATAAAAATATCACATGTGTCAAACGAACCATCGAATCGAATGGCAATTTTAAGAAATTTATTTCTCATAATCAATTATGCATATAAAATCTCAAATTACTCATTGAGAATTCAATCATGTTTTACATTATCTAATTGAAATTGATAATAATGCACGAAATCATTCTAACCTAAAATTGAAAATTCATGGCCAGAAAAGTAAAGATTGATTGACTCTGAAACTTTAAAACATATTCATTAAAAGAATATCGTTAAATATAATATTGATGAGTATTAACAAACATAAACAACTTCTTCAATGAAACGTATTTACGAGAAAAAAAAAGTTTCATTTGAACAAATCAAATTACATAATGGCTATCAAGTTTGATTATTTATGCTTTTTTATTTAATCGATCATTTCAGCCTTGAAACAAAAATGTCAACTTTTCACAATCAATACATTTGTTTAAATATTAAATCATTATCTTATTATATTAAATTAAATTCAATAGGTTATGTTCAACATAACTATTCTCTTATATGAAATCATTTCAAATTTATAATTATTCATTTGAAATTATCCCATGGAAAACACAAATAAAATATACATTTATTTTATATATAACGATGTGGAGATGTGTGTGTGTAGATTTGGATATAATTGTTGCTGAAGGCCAGACACGCATCACATCCCACACACCGACACTAACAATCCAAACCGACAACCCACACCCCAATCAAGTATGTGATTGAATGATTGTTTTTGAATGATCTTTCGATATTCACTTTTACGATAAAGAGCAAGAATTACTGAGCATATTTTCCAACTGTGTTTGATGATCGAAGAAGTGAATGGCAAACAGTTACATAAGAAAAAAAAACGACAGAAATCTATTAAATGTAACGGAGCATATGCTGTCGACGAAAGAGAATCGTTCAAAGAAAGTCTTGTGAAATTTGCTTAACGGAAATTCTAATTTTGATGCTTGATTGTCTTCTAGAATAGCATGCTATAGTAGATTTTTCAAGCTAGAAACTCATATGCAGAAGCATCGTGCCCAATAAATAGAATATGGACTCATTTTCGAAAAAAAAATGTACCTCTGTCTGCTCGGATGTTAGTGAACACAACTGTTTATTTGTTCTTGATTCTTTTTATTTGATGAATCTTTAAAAAAATCATGTTAGTGAGGGAATGTGGTGCTAACACAGTAATTTGTAGCTCTAATGTCCCAATGATCAGATTCCTTGGTAAAGGTGTTTCCATTAGCTGACTGATATTGTGCCGCTCCAGTGGAGGAAGCCGCAATGCTTTCGAACTTGCTGCTGATATAAGTGTCGATACAAGTGTTCAGTGCGATGCCGAGTTTGTAGCCATTTTCGTTATTTGTTTCCTGTTTAAATGTCAATATAATTAAAAGATAAATGAAAATAAAATGTTCTTACCGTGCCAAACGTAATAAGGATATCACATTCAGATGCTGTTTTGAGTTCTCCCAAGCATCCAATAGAGTCACAATTAATTTGCTCAAGTGAAACGCACGTTGTTTCAGTACCTTCGCCACATTCACTGGTCGATGGAATTCTTATACCCATCGACTCAAGTTGTGCCACAGCGGAGACATGTGTCATTTTACAATCAGTCAAATCTTCTAATAATGTTTTAAGGAAACAAAGCAACAAATCAGAGCTGTACTCCTTTTTCAAAAATATTTTCGCTTTTCTTCCTCAGAATATTTCTATTCGCCACAATCCTCAAAATATTCTTCTACAGTAGCGATATAACTCATTTTGAACTGAGTCTTTCTAATGATTTCAAGCTAATAACTAACCTGCATCAATAACAGTGGTTCCAAGAATCAACATCGCAAGGACGAAAATTCGATGCATCATGTTCGTTCAAGAAAACTCAAATAACAGTAAACATATTCTCGGTGTCTTTTATACCTTGGTTGCACTTACATTCAAGAGAATAAGTGTATATGTTAAAGTATGCTTTATTGACAGCCTTTATCGCTTAATCAAATAACAAGTGCTCGTCGTCAATTCGTAGCATCTGATCGGCACAAAAATGGATACGACAAACACACATATTTACCTTCATTCGAGGAGAAGAGAAAAAAATCATGCAATTGCTAAAGCAGGCACCTCCACACACTTCAGCTTTTGCATTCATTCTTTTGCCGTAAGGAAACAGCTTATTCAGCTTTGCGTTTTATGAATCTCCACCGTAATTTTTTCTGACAAAAGCGAGTTATAATTTGTCTTTAAACAAATTTTAAGTTTTTCTAAAGAAACAGAATTAAGAACTTGAAAGCTTCAAATTTCACTTGAGCTTATGTATGTCGATGTTAATTTCATACATTCAGATTTAGAACTACTCCCAAAGTAAATATTAAATAGTTAGAAAATGACATTTAAATGCAATAGAAAAATTGCAGTATTTCTTTTTTTTTTAGTGATGATAGACAAGCATCAACGCGACTAAAGATATTTATCAAATGTAGGAAAGTTTAATAAATTTAATCGAACTTCTTTTTATCAGAAAAAGTCGTTTTGATTGGAAAATATCAGACTCAACCATTGAAAAATTGAAACAACTGTTCATGATAGCGTTATTACAGCTTTTCATATATAGTAAAAGCTGTCAAGCTGAAATCTTGTAGTTATTTAATATTAAACAGGTATAAACATCTACGAAATTTACAAAATTTTTGCTTTTATTGAATACATGAAATATCAAACACTTGAAAAAAAATCGATATGATGAATAAATTTCATCGTTCTAGTATTTTTTTTATAGTTTATTTTGTCAGTAAATATTCACATACATATGCATACGTGACAAACACTTCAATTTATAAGAAAATTCAAATTAAACAATATTCATTTCATAAAGACGTTTATTTAAAAAAGTACACATTTCTTCAAAGATTGACCGCTCATTATAAGGACGCCAAAATTCAAGCATTAAATCAATAAGGTCTTTACTTAAACGTTCAGATTATGTTATACAATTAGGCATTGCTTTCCGTAGTGTTATACTATTTGACACACATTTGAAATATATTCAGGTGCTACCACCGAATGAGTAATTATATACGATTCATTTTATAATAATGTAATTGAAATTGTTCGAATGCCATAGCTGACTTAGTTAATTTAATTTCATAATTTGAATGAATTAAACAGTTTCGGGCAGCTATATCACCATGAGTAATATGATGTGATTCAAGCTAACGAAGAGCATCCGATAGTTGAGTCATAAAGTAAAGACGAAAATTCTTTTATGTTAAAAAAATATGTAGAAAGATCTATTTAAACAGTGTGTTCAATAAGAGCATAGTTTTGTTCCGTTGTATAACCATAAAATTAAAAAATTTAATATTAAAAATTTTTACTTTGATTTATATCATTAGTTGTTAGAGGGTGTGAGTGTGATTGAAGAGAAGGCTAACATTCATACAGTCATGCCCTATTCGTACTCTTATGGCTATGTTCCACTGACTGATGGAAATGTTGGAGATCAATATGCCTTTCGCTATGTTACTTATAGTGATTTGGTTCCGCGCGAATCTGATCATGAGACATTGGCAGCCGTACGGGTTACTATGTATGAGTTCATGTATTACTTAACATTCTTTCATTTATTTCGGTGTGTCATTCACCTTTTTTTACAAATCATTTATAAGCGTGATCATCGTGATAGAAGACATTGGCTAAATCGTGCGAGTATTTGAAAAACTTGATTTATATTATTTATTTCTATTCAAACAGAAATAGGATATGATGCAACCAATAGAGAGTAATTGAAAAAAAAAGAAGACAACGCCAACCAGGAATCGAATAATTCTGTTCAAACAGTAGAGCATCTATTCATAGAAAAACAGATACAAATATCTTGAATTCAAATCCACAATTAATCATAGATTAGCACTGAAGTATTTTTCTTGCGAGAAAATCTTGTTCATTATTCCTTGATTATGATCTTGATCGAGCGCTAATGATAATTTTTAGTAACGGAGCCAGAAATTAGGTGCGAGCTACTTAGCCCTCAAGTACCTCCATGACGAATAATTTTAGCTACATAATAGAATTGAGCCTTACAGATCCTTAAGCAGTTGATGAAAAATATTATTTTGTGAACAGTTATCAATCAGTTGAGAATCTATTCATCGAGTAAAATACATCGTAAAACCTAAAAATGGATATTGGCGATGGGAATAGTTAGTAGGGATCGAAACGAATAAGAAAATCTCGATTCGACTCAACCGAATCGATTTATTCGACAATTTTATTTGATTTTGACCTCTGATAGATATTAATGAAAAGTTGGTCAGAAGGACTTCTAGATTTTGCGACAATAGCATGTAGCGTCATCTTTTTTGACTGCTATTTCGTCATTCATTCAACGTTGTATTTTTGTGAATTCTGATTCATGAAAGGCGAATGCAATAAAAAAGAAACTCACCGAGATTGGAGAACAGAACAAC